TATAGCAAGCATGTTATAGGTATCTAATCTTACTGTGGCTGGGTGGGTTTACCTGTGCACCTCCTCCTGCCTCAATACTATATGAAATAAGAAAATACATACTTGCACAAAAATCTAGGAGTTAAAGCATGGAAATACTTTTGAAAATATTTGAGTAAAAATAAAAGAAGAAAGAAAAGTGATGCCACCAGGGGAGTTTATTTTAGACCACCTAAACAGATAAAGGGGATGGGTGAGGTTTTTCTGTGTCAAATGACCATTCTTTCAGAGACACATGCAATAATGGGATAATGGGAGATTTGACATTTGCAGGAAATATAAGTCTGCTAAGAGTCAGAGGTCTAACAGTTTTTCTTTTGTTGGTAACTTCACTTGTCAGAAGATGGAAGACAGAAGAAGGAAGTGCTACTCTGAACTTAATCCTCTCCAGCACAAAGAAATTGTTTGAAGGAGTAATGGCAGCTGTTATTTTAAGGAAAGTCATCCTGAAATTTAAAATATTTAATAGAATAACAGAATAGGAAAAGACCTTGAGATCTTCTGATCAACCCCCTGTTCAAGCAGGAGACCCTATACCATTTCAGACAAATACCTGCCTATTTTCAAATGTGCTGAATGACCACACCCATTTCTTCTTAAAAATCTCCAGTGATGGAGCACCCACAACTTTTGAAGGCAAGCCATTCTATTATTTGTTCCAACTGTCAGGAAGAAATTTAGGGGACTGTCAGGAATTTACGGAAGGAGAAACAGATCTGCATATTAGATCCTGGAATAGTAGTTTTTAATGAATTCTGAGGGAAGTTAGGTTGGATCCTATGGGTTGAATTTTTGAAACAGAAAAGCATTGGGAACTAAGGGAAATCCTATAGAATGAGGGACTGCAAGAGTCATATGTGAACAAAACATATGAAGAGCAGAAACTGGAGAAATCTAAAAAGGTTAGCATGAACAAAATGCTAAAGACAAAAGGAGATATTTATAAGGAATGGGAGAAGGATTGAATAAGACAAGTAGAATATAAGGCTGTTTCCTCAAACAGTAGGAACTGTGTCAGCAAAATTAAACCTGAGAATGTTTTGAAAACTATACTAACAACAATAAAGGTTCCTTTATCTTAAAAAAGATTATTATCTTTTTTATCCCTCCCGGAGAAGGGCGGCATACAAATAAACTAAATCTTAATCTTAAATCTTAATCTTTGAGTAGTTAGAGACAAAAGGAAAGGCCAAGAACATGTAGGTCCATTGCAAGAATGAAATCTTGACTTGGCAAAGGGTAATGTGAGAAGGCAGAACTTCTTAACTCTTCCTTTGCCTGTGTCTGTAGTTAATGTACATGCACTAGATAGTCACTTTAGTAATCTGGGATGTAAACCAACAGACAAATTTGCAGAACAGCTGTTAGTAGATTCTGGTAATTCTGGACAACTCCAGAGGACTGGAGGAGAGCAAATGCCATTCCTATCTCAAAAAAAAAAGAAGAAAAAAAAAAAGGAAGGACTTGGGCAGTAGTGGATTGCCAATTGTTTTACTACCAGTTCGGGCATGCTCTCGTGCATGCACATGACACTTCTGCACATGTGCAGAAGTGGCCAAGTGGATGGGCGGAGCCTCCCTCCACCACTACTACTGGTTCGCTTGATCCTGGCTGAACCGGGAGCAACCCACCTCTGGACTTGGGCAAGAGCAGAACTCTTAATTTCATGTCTATAAACAGAATAGGTTACAACTGATTCTGATGTTTCAGAACTACAAAGAGGCAGAAAGCAGGAGATGTTTCAAAATGTTATTAGGAACAAGTGAAATCTTCAAAATACTGAGCAAGACTTTGAATGTCATGGATGCTTTTAAAGAACAGCCACTCCTATTTTATCCCAAAATGCTTTGCCTGCCAACATGATTGATGAACATCTTGACTGACATTTGTCCTTCAATGAGATGGGTTTTACTCACACTTTGCTGTGCCTGGAACATCTTTTAACCATTTTATTTATTTAGCACACTGTCTTTTCTCACAATTCTAGGCACCTACAATAAACTTTCTGTAGAATACTAATAAGCCCAATCAATTAAAAGCCAAAACATTTCCAGAATTTGGACCCTGGCCTTATAAATCTGTGCTTGCTCCTGTTGATCAAGTCCTCAGTTTCTGACACTGTCATCCCATCAAGGTAAACCAGGTCAAGAAACAGACACAACAAGGATTACTGGAATGCTCTTTTTTTGGTAGAATAACACAGTCCCTTGAAAGTGTGTCAACTTTTTTTTCTTTATTCCATCTTATCCCAAGCAAAATCAAGGCAGGGTTATCTTTCATTTCTTTCTCACACTTCCCTCTTCCTCAATTGTATAATGTTTCCTGAGACTCTTCCCTTAACAGTTTGATTATTCCTTTTGCGTCTTAAAACCAGATGTCCCTCATGTCATAAATGTTTTCATGATTTCAGTATTTTGTGAAATAATGTTTCAAATTCAAACTTTCATACTTAAAACAATCTTACAAACAAAAACCCTACATTATTGACCACAGATAATTAATTTTGCATAGAGTTGCTTATATTTCATGGGGAAAAAATAAACAATGCTACATCTTCACACAATAAAGAATAGTGATTAAATTTAAAAATTTCCATGAATTTATTAAAATTGATTAAGCTATTAATTCAGTTTAATACTATTCATATTGACTAGTAGATGCAAGTAATGATATTTCTAAATATAATCAGTTTAAGGTTTTTCAATGGAAGGTTAACGCTCAGAGTTTATAAAAGCAATACTGTAATTCATATTATACCACCATTTCTACCGGTGAAAACTGAAGTTCCGGCCAGGTTATACCTTGTCATGTGAGGGCATAACATTAAATGTTCTCCCTACAAGAATAAACCAAAGAAAACAATATAGAAATCATAAAATATTTGCTTCTCCTAGCAAAAATTTACCATGGCTTATAGAAAACCTTTAACCAACTCTGATGGATTCAACTTTAAGGTTTAAAACAAGAGAGGAAAACTTTTTATAAGCTACCTCATTTTAGTCTGCTGACAGGGTTCATTTGATCATTTCAAGAATCCTGCTGCCTCTTATCTTTGCTCAAGCCATATGGTGCATGTCAGTATGTTATATCCTTGCTAGCAGTGAAACACTGCTTTGAAAACTTACCATGTCGACTCTTTTACAATCATTGTAGTTCAAAGTAATTTTGTTCATTTTGCAGTTTGCATAATGAGGATGTGGGATGCATTCTAACTAATTTCTATAGGCCACCTACTAGAGTTCATTTTTTTTGTACTGCTATCCACCCCCAACAATTGACATTATAACAAGCTGGTTGCTTTTGGTTTCACAATGTTTCCTGGCATAAGAGACCTATAAGATAGCCAAGAATGAGAACTTGAATCCTAGTATACTTAGTATATTCAAATGTCTTTTACAAGCAGCAGAAATGGCATGTGAGGTATCTTGCATGCATACACATCCATGAATAATCAGGGTGTTCATGTTCAGGTTAAATAATGAACATCCATTCCTAGTTTAATGACCGAATTCTATTACAATGACCAGGTCATTAAGAATGGTTGGTAAGCAAATGTGTGTGGGTGTGAGAGGGGGGACAGTTTTATCAAAGGCTCTTAATAAACTTAGTAGTGNGTTGTTGGGGGCAATATGCTGACTCTGTAAACCGCTTAGAGAGGGCTGAAAGCCCTATGAAGCGGTATATAAGTCGAACTGCTATTGCTATTGCTATATACTAATAACCTTGAAAAATAATTTGTAGGTTTTGTTTGGAATATTTTAGGAACAGGATAAACCATGTCTGTACCTCTATGCTCAAAGGAAAATAATTACATTCCTTGTCAGAGTGGACTCCTTTTTATGGTTCAATCAGAATTAGGATGCAGATTTTATTACCTGCTGTTTAACACAAATTTGTAGGTTTGAAAATGCAAAAATACTTTTGTGTATAACATAAATTTAATCTAAAGAACAGACTTATATATTTCCGTTACTATTAATGTAACTTTCCTAAATTATAAAACAATTACATGATGCATCTTTTGTTATTTTCAAATTGCCTAGAAGAATACAGTAGATAAACTATATTTGCTAGCTGTACATATTTACTTAAGTTAGGTGAATACATGCCTTCTGAATTTTTCTGTTATCTCTCATTGTGGAGATAATATTCAAGACATGTTTGCAACATTTATTGCATATGGTAAACATGCTTATGTAATACACTATTCTCCAAAATCCTTTTTCTTCTCCTTCTGTGCTCTCTATGTTAAGGTTTTCTATTTGTTCCTACAAGAGTGGCAAGAATGACAACAATTCCTCCAAGGCTTTGCATTCTGTGGCCTTCATAGGACTTTCCTCATGTATAATTCATATATTTAGTAAGGTCTATTGCTTTGTATAAAAAGCAGGGAGGATAAGATTGAAAATGTTATAATTTGAAGAAGGGTAAAGCAATAAATAAAATAAAATGTTTATTAAGATAATAAAGATACGGATATCAATCAATGCAACAGTGATCATTAGGAGGTAGTTGCATAGAGCAACTTTGGGCCTTCATATGTACTTAGGGACATATTCCATATACACATATGCTGACACACCTGGCCAAATGATCAAAGTTCAGGTAACCAAAAGACTAATGTATTTTGGTATACAGCAGATTGCTGTCATATGTACATTAATAATGGATCCACGGAGATGGCCTTTCAGATGTTCTTACAGTACTCCCAAATCTTAGCAGCCCTACGCAGCATACTCAATGGTGAAAAATTAGGGAATGGTGTAATACAACATGTAGAGGGCCATCCATTGTTCACCCTTACTCTAGAATACAGGATTGCTACAAATACTATAGGATGATTATTGAATAGCCAATGAATAGTTTGCTCAGGTTGCATACTTCTATTTCAGAACTTATGCACATACTTCCCTTTCTTTTTCTTTTTTCCCCTAACTGTAGTTAACAAGTGTATTGATAACAGTTTTGCATATTTGCAATAAATCATAATGTAATGTAATGACATTATTACAGGGAGGGAGGAGAATATGGAAATCCAATTAAAATTAGGCTTATCAAGGCTCAGTATTGACTCAATCCTGGCATGCTAAATTTAATATATAACCCCTGCATAAGCTTGAGTGAAAAGAAACTCAAAAGCACTCCCTCTTTTTACTTACAGTTGTTTTTTCCAGGCAATGCAGCAGGTGGTGATGCTGACTTTCAATGATGGATGTGGCTTTGCTGATATTGTGCTCATCGTCCATAGACCCCTAAGCAGACAGAAAAGGCAACCATGAGATCATTTCTACAGAGAAAATAGCAGTCTTGTCCAGCATCTGAAAGTCCAATATGTAAAAGATGAACAAGAAAAAGACAAATAAGTGCTCTTAAGCTTCAATATCCTTGCCTAATAAGAAGGACCCCTAGTTCTACTGCATAGGGTTATCCCAAAAGTTAAATTTTAAAAAAGAAGGAAGAGGACTGAAAACTCCCCCGTCCCCCGTCAAATAAAGGTAAAGACAGAGACAGAAAGAAAGACAGATTGGCAGGTAAAGCTACAAAATAAAGCTTAGTTGTTGTCTTCCCTAATCTCCAGCTGGGCACTGATTGGAAGGTTATATACATTCTAATCCAGACCAGAACAACAGATTGGGAGAATCTGATTCCATGGTAAAGTGCTGCAATAGCTCTCAGACTGCTTTTGCTACAACATAGTCAAGACGATTTTATTCCTGGTAATAGAACAAACAGAAACATACCAGACAATCTAAAAATTGCCTAAATATATAATTTAGAACTTAAAAATATATATATCTCTAGAAAGCTGCACTAAACAGATCCACAGTCACAAAGGAGGCTGGTTTACATTCCTAAATTGTGCCACCAAAGCAGCTACTTCTATATGTTTAGGTTAGCTTCTGCTTCTGCTTTCTTTGACACACCAATAACATCTGCAGCTGCAATGCAAAGTATAATTTAATTCAGGTTGCATGGTTCTTGGTAGGAACAAATAGATCTTTGGAGGAGGTTAGTACACATCAGTATAACAAACATATTAAAAAAACTACAAGGAAACTCTATTATTTACAGCACAGACGAGAGGATGGATGCTTAACTTTCTCCTTTTTGCCACAGCTGCACCACAGCTTTATCTTCAGCATGGAACATCTGAGCTACTCGTAAAATGGTGATTGAAGATGTGGACAAAAATTCTGATGGTTCTCTAAATCCTGCACATATGACAAGAGGCTTCATTTATCTGGAAATACTTAAATTTCAGTTATCAGGGGTGAAGAATTGTTGTCAAGTAGACACTTTATCAATAATCAGCATTTATGCAGATCTAATAACTGGTCAGAAAAAAAGATTTCTGTGCAAGTGATTCATATTTAACACTTTCCGAAGGGAAACAGGATCTTTCCAAGTAATCATTTTAGAAAGGAATGCTTACTACTTCCTCATTGTAGGGAATCAAAATGAATCTCTTCTCTGTCATCCAATCTCCTGCTTGTTCTTGGATAGTAAGCTATGTTTTCCCAGCATTCAACATGAAGCCATGCCACAATGCTTGACGTATTTTTTTGCTCAGATAGATATGTATCCTGCTTTTTCATCTGGGAGAGCTGATAGGATTTCAGCTCTGTGCAGGCACAAAGAATTCCAGCTCCATGCAAGTCGGTACAGCTCCTTGAAAAAGGATTTCAGCTTGGCTCTGCTTGCTTGGAACTGAAAACCTTTGGCAGGGAGCTCTTTCAGTCAGTGCCCAGAGATGAAAAGAGCGCAGCAGCTTGTAACCTTCCCTGTTGACTTCTCCACTGACTTTTAAGGGAAGTTGGCAGAGAGGATTGTGAATGGCAATCACATGAATGGGGGGATGGGGGGGTGTTGGTGTGATCAGCTGGGGGCTAGGTGTGATCAGATTGCCAAGCATCCAGATCACATCATGCGACCATGTGTACATGTGTGATATTTTGGAACACATGGAAATCCTTTACAGGCATTTCCAAGGCCATTGTTAATTTGATCCACCATAAAGTGAACAGTACAATTTCGTGTTTACAATATTAGCAGCAAGTCTAATTTTTTACAGCCATTACCTTGCACAAGTCCTTGATAGGGTTGTATCTTATGTTTTTTGTCCCATACCTACCATCTGTACTTTTACATGCACAGATGGATGCTGTCTGGTTGAATTAAAGACAATAATTAAGCACTTTCCATTACAGATTGCTTGATGATAATTCAGCCTTATTATTATTATTTACCCATTGTGGTTCAAAAACACATGTCATTTCAAAGGAAATGGAATTTTGTTCCAAGCAAGGCTATATTCACAACTCTATAGCTCTATAGCTTTATCTGAGTCCTTTCTCGGTTATTTCACTAGCACACTATTACTTAAAACTGGGAGTGAAACCTGGGGATATGAGAAGCTTCTTATACTGAATCATATCTCAACTAGAGTTGATATATCTGGATTTGAATCTGGAATTTTTTCATGCAAAACACATGTTCTATCATCTCAGCTATAGGGCTCTTCTGAAAACAACAACTGCAGTCTGGATTATTTAGATTATGTTAGTGACTCTGCTGGCCATTTTGCTTTCTTTTTGTGCTTCCTTGAAAGAGACCTTGAAGAGTATATTTTGAAGCAATCCCAAAGTATCAAGGAATCAAAGTCTGGAATAATCTACCTAGTTGTAAGAATTTTCTGAAAACAATTTGTAACTTGGCAAAACAATAACTTTGCATTGCTTCCTTTCCTTATATTATTTTGGCATAATCCGAAATTGCAAATGTAATTTGTTAGACATTTTCATCAACTCAATTAAATGCAATAAATTGTGACATTCTACCTACTGTGAATGACCCATTTTTTGGAATATAGCTGTAATGCTGATCTAATGAGGACATTGCCTATTTAAATGATACTTATCAAAATAACCTCTGTGGCTGAAACTCTTTGATGTACAATAGAGGCTCTTGTGAATGGGCAGTGCACATCACTAATTTTGTGATTCAAGGACATGATTTGCCTAGAACCAGATATATTGGTGACACTGAAAACATTATTTTTGGTGTCACTTTTTTGTTGCTATTCTTTAGAAATGTCATGGCTAAGTATGTGTGTGTATTTAATTTAAATTTCCTGACCTTGAACTTCACCTCAATTTCACAGCATGTCTTCTTTAATCATCGCCATCAATTTTATTTGTGTTCAGTAGTAGGGACTTTCAAAAACCATTAAATATGTTAAATCAGTAATTATGTGCTCAAAACAGCTCCTTTAACTGGGATTGATGTTTGACAAGGACATATCTTACAGAATCATTAAAATGCACTTACTGTATGATAATGAATATTATCATTACTGTTATGGCATCACTAAAGATTGCAGTTATTGACTCCAAATTTTATATTTCAAAATTCTAACTGAACAAGGATGAAAGGCATAGTGATATGATAATTGTGGATACAGATTTTTTTCTTCAGAAGTTATACTGCTACATCATGTATTGTGCTTCTGTCCTTGCCCTTGTTATAATTATCCTATTTTATAGTTTTAGCTTTTATGTTTCATATAGTTGCATTGGTTTGGCTGCTTGCAACCTGTTTTAGACATTTGTTTTAAAAAATAAATAAAATTAATGCAATGGAGAAATGCAATACTGATGGAGTTATGTTTTATACATTACATATGGAAATTGCTACCATAAGGTATAGTGATAGCCATAAATTTAGATGGACTTGAGACTCAATTCATGGAAGAATAGTTTTGATGTCAGTGTATTATTTCCTGGGTTATGAAGAGCACATTTTAAATAGCAACTATAGGAGAGCAGAAAGAGAATAAAGTTATTTCTATTGTATCCTGCTTGTAAGCTTCTAGTTGGTTACAATATGATATTAAAGAACAGACAATGGCTCTTTAACAGAGGTGTTATCTAAATTATGCAACAACTAGAAACAGCTGAACTCCTGATACTTTTAGGTTAGGCTATCCCATTGAACCCTAATTCTCTAGCTTCATTCTCAAATCACAACAGTGCACACATAAACACACAGACACACCAAGGGATGAAATAGTTGTAAAGGAAGTACTTGAGGTGGGTACAGGCACCATGAGTGCAGAGGTGAGCAACTAGGCTGCCTACTAGAGGGCATTAGTTGTTTTCTGAATCTGATCCTGCTAAATTTCAATCTGTTCTCCAGACTGAAGAAGATTGAGACCAAAAAAGGCTAAGATAAACCCATTGTCTTTTGCTCTGATTTGCCAGAGCTTTTTTATGTTGCTACAGGAAAAGCTACTCCTATGGTATAGAGTTCCTGACTAAGCAGTGAGTTAGACTAGAAGACCTCCAAGATCCCTTCCAACTCTTCTATTCCATTCCATTCCATTCCATTCTATTCTATTCTATTCTATTTATTTTGCATAATATATACAGTAAAGAAGGATGCCTTAATAAGCCAAAGCTAAAAGAGAAGATTTGTTCCTAACTTTCTTTTTGGAGTTGTTGTGATGGAAAAAAGCCAGAGGTCCTGCTTTAAATATCACACTATACAAATCACAGAAGTTTCCATAGTTTATTTTGGCTCTCTTGCTATACTTGTTCATTTTGAAGAATTCTGGCTTAGTGTGATATCAGAATAGCTCACTTTTTCTGCATGTTTTCAAATAAATTGTCATATACAGTATTGGTGGATATATTTTTTTTTACATTTTAGGAATGTATATAATGCTAAACAATCTTTCCTTCACCTTCATCTAAAGGTACATCTATTAATTTTCAGGTCTCACCCATTTGGATCAGAATGTTGTGAAGTTTACTTTTCCAAATTGTTCACATAATAACAACCATTGCAGCATCCCCATGGTCACATGATCAAAATTCAGATGCTTGGCAACTGAGTCACATTTATGACAATTACAGTGTCCCAGTGTCATGTGATCCCCTTTTATGACCTTCTAACAAGCAAAGTCAATGGGGAATCCGGATTCACTTAACAACTGTGTTACTAGCTTCACAATTGCAGTGTGATTCACTTAAGAAATGTGGCCAGAAAAGTCGTAAAGTGTAGCAAAACTCACTTAACAAATTTCTCACATAGCAACATACATTTTGGACTCAATTGTGATTGTAAGTTGAAGATTATCTGTATTTATATGGCTTTCTAGAAGCCTAAAATAGTGAAGACCTGCAGGATCCTAAGGGAAGGGTGTTTCATAGAACATAGACTCCTATAGAAAAGGCACATTTTGTATCTCCCC